TATAAATAGAAATTTCTCATAAAAGTAATAAAATTACTACCACAAATTCAAAAATATAAAAATATAAATCAAATTAGCATATGCTGAAAAAATATATTCTTTTACAAAACGATCATTTTACTTACAAATACATTTGTCATATTATACATTATGTATATTTAAATGTGAATTAAGATTTTATACTATTATATATTCGATACATTATTCTATATTATTTATATTATTATATATTATATATTATATATTATTTAATTATATATTCGAATAAATTAAATTTTTTTCTACACACATCTTTTTATCATAAAAACTGATACATATCACTATGATATCATATTTATCTATTTTAATTTTTTTCAATTGTGTTCGATACTTTACATATGTTGTTCATGTCATATTGTTCATAAATCTTTCTTATTCAACTTTGCTGATATCATTATCAATGTAATTTCACTTATCATAATTTTGGTGGCTGAAAGCTTATTTTATATTTTATTTTCGCATTCTGCAGATTCCAAATTCTCTAGATAGATACTAAGTTATATATTAATTGATGATTAGTATTATTTATTCATTTTAAATATCAGCCATCACAATATGTTTATAGAAACAATAGATAAATGACAATCACATATTGATACACACATTGTCATCGATATATATAATTCAATATAGTAACAACAATTTTTATTAATATCTTAAAAATCATGAATTTATGAATCATGAATCCAGACAACAACTATTGTAATTCTTGAAACATAAGTTTTTGATCGAAATAACACATCTCTAATTCGTTTATTCCAATAATTAAAATGGAGCTGTGAAATATTACTATTGCTGTATAAGATTACATTATCAGATTGAGTTATATTCAGATTAGATAAGTATCTGGTGTAAAGCCATCTATTTTACATATTAGATTTATATATTTTAAGCCATATTTTTTTAACGAAATATTTATGGAAGCAATAATCATATTAGACTTTTTTATTCATATGCTTTCCAATGATATGTTATATCAATAACTATGAGTTCAAATACTGTAATACGTTCATTACATATATTATACAATATTTTTATTAAAATTAAATTTACAGTTATGAAAATAATAATTCTTAATGACTTTAATTATTTATGAACAATGTGATCATAGAATATTGCTTCAAAATAATTCGTTATCTATTGCTAATAAAAATATTATATAATATATTTTTGAATGTATAATAATATATATAATAAAATTCTTCTTAAGGTTTTTTATAACATACTGGGAAAAAAATATATATTTTTATTTAAAAAAGATGATTTTGATCTTTGTCATGAAAGACTATTTTTTGGAATTTTTATTATTATTATTCTACAATATTGATAATTTTTTAAAAATATTCTTTTATTAATAGCCAAAAATAATTGAAAAATCACACAATATATTAAACGAAATATTCTACATATATTATAAAAAATTTACCTTAGAAATACTAATAGATGGTGCGATAGAAAAATCAATAGGTTCAATTGCAGCATCTTGAAATGCAATAATTCGTGCTAAAGGTTTTAAATTCATTTTTTCAGCAACAGTTGTAGTCGTCAAAATTAATGCAGCAGCTCCATCATTTAAAGTTGATGCATTTCCAGCAGTTATTGTACCATTTTCCTTTTATAATAAATAATTAAAGATTATCATTTAAAATTTAAATTAATTTATATTAATTAAATTTAAATTAAATTAATATAAAATAATATATAATATCTAAATAATAATTAATTTAAAATTAATACCTGAAAAACTGTATTCAATTTTGCAAACTTAACAAAATCAACTTTTTTATATTCTTCATCCTCATCAAATATTTTATTAAGATTGCCTTTTTTTTGAGGCACAGGAACAGAAACAAGTTCATTTTGAAATATTTTGTTTACATATGCTGCAGCACTGCGTTTATAACTATTAATAGCATATTCATCTTGTTCATCACGAGTAATATTTAATTTTTTTGCAACATTTTCTGCACAATTTCCCATATGAAATTTATTATAAACATCAGTTAAACCATCAAATATAATACCATCCTATTAAATTAAAAAATGATAAATGAATAAATTAATATTAAAATCAAATATAAAAATACATAAGAATATTCTATATAATATAAAATATATATATACATATATATAT